TTGTTTTTTTCTTTTCAGCACGTTTGAGTTCCTTGTAGATCCAAGATGTTAATCCTTTGTTAATTCATCCACTCTTATCTTTTACTTTCACCCTCTGTCTCCTCCTTTCTCCCTTTTTTTTCTCCTTTATGCCTTATCCTTTGCTTTTCTACTGTTTTTCCGTGTTGCCACCAATGATCTCTCCCTCCTGCTTCTCTTTCATTGCTTTCCTGTCCTTTGCATTTTCATCACTCATGGTACTCGCAAGGTATGTGAACTGTAGGCCCATAGGAACTGTATTCCGAGTTGGATGAACTGATCTCAAAGGGGAGCTAAGAGCCATGTCCAAGACTCGTCTAAAAATATGACAAACGGCAAAGCCTGACAATTGCAACAGGAGAAACGGGCAGGGAAGCTGAGGAAAGTTGTTAAGACATGATTCTAATGATGGACATGGAATTTATACTATAAAAGAATTAAAATAAGGATGGTAACAGGGTTGTAGATCTGTGTGTTGTTGAAGAATTGTTGGGATCAAGAGACGAAGGGGAGTGAGGTAGGACGATGAGAACTGTGGCCTGAGAGTGGAATGGTTGAAATCAGTATCATGGAGGGATGCCACCCTGTGATGCCTGGCCTAGTGGCACATAGAGGTCTAGGCAGAAGATCATTGGCTGGGGAATCAGGCATGGCCCAGACGCTTCCTGACCCCATTTCTTGCTAAGTTCAGCGGCCTTAGGCATGTTACATGAAGTTTTCATTGGCACAGTTCCTTTATCTACAGAATGGGATGCTCATAATATAAAAACTTACATAATGTGACAGTCACATGAAATAAAGTATAATTCCTGGCATAAAGTACGGATTTTGTCAAGGTTACTTTCATTCCATTCCCTTCCATTTCTTACTCTTTTACTTCAGCTGATTGACTCCCTTTTGTGTGTTCCTCTCTTGAATGAAAAGTCTTGTTCCTCAGATAGGTAGTATTTTATTTTATTTTTATTTTATTTGTTTAAATTTTATTTTAAAGATGTAAGGTCCAATTCAGGATTAGGTATACAAGTGGTCATCGTATAGGTAAAGTTGGGGCCTCCCTTTGATCCCCACTTTGCCTGGTTTGAGATCAGGTACCCCTACTCATATTATGTGCCCCCACTCCCCTGGCTGTTTCTGGCAACTGCCAATCCCTTTTTTATATTATTATGGTAAATGTTCAGGGTCCACTTATGAGTGAGGACATGTGGTACTCAGTTCTTTGTTTCTGTGATAGATCACTGAGTATTGTAGAGTCTCGTCTGGACTTCACAGCAACTTGAAGGTGTTATTTTAAATGCTGTGAATTTGTTTAGACTTTAGGCAGTGTGATCACAGAAGATGAACCATAAATTAGATTTTTAAGTGATCTCTAAAATATGGCAGATATATGGTAAGTATGAAAATAATTACACTTAGATGGTATTACTTAATTGTTGAAGCCACGAAATGTTTTTCTGACCCTAAGGTTATGGATAAATATGGGGAGTTCTATGGCCGAGACAGAATCAGTGAGTTACTTGGCATGGACAAAGCAGCTCTGGACTTCAGTGATGCCCGAGAAAAGAAGAAGCCGAAGAAAGACAGTTCCTTATCGGCAGTGTGAGTGCTGCTTCTGCCCTATCCTACAGGTTGAGGTTGGAAGGCAAAGACATTAATACATTTCTGAACTTGCTAGTGCATTGATTCCCTTTCCTTCCATGTCAGAGGAATAGACAGATGAGGAAAACAGAGCCTATATATAAAGTCCACTTTTACACTTAGGGGTATTTAAAGCCATGGGAAGATCAGATTCAGCTCTGAAGTTGCTCCCCCACCCCCTTTTTTTAAATATAATTTACACAGAGCACGAGAAAAGAAAGAATATTCATATTCTTGATTTAATTTGCCTTTTCTATTCTTAAATGCCCCTCAAGTCAAAGTAAAACAAAAGTGCAATATATGACTCTGTTTTCTTATGCTTGCTGTTTGAAATGAATTTTCATATGTTTTAGAAACGGGAACTATGTAGCTATTTTATTTAAAATGTTCAAAATTATTTTTATTATAATTATTGTTCTTTTTTAAAAAAATAGCAAAGACTTAGTATGTTAGAAATACTATCATATGATTACTTGGAAAATCTACTTCAAAATGAAGCACTCAATATAGTGTTTCACGGAAATATGTTATAACTAGAATGATATAAAATAATTGAATTAAATTACCTGAGATTGAATTTCATACACACACACATATATAGTGTGAGTTTACAGATTTTATACATAGATATACAGATATATATAGATCCAACTATACCTACTTAGCAATTATGATCAACTGAATTTCTAGAATAAAAGTAAAGCACATATATGCTTTAAAAAATTTAATTTCTCAAGACTGGACCTGGTGGCTCATGCCTGTAATTCCAGCACTTTGGGAGGCCAGAGCAGGAGGGTTGCTAGTGCCCAGGAGCTGGAGACCAGTCTGGGCAGCACAGCAAGATCGCATCTCTACAAAAAAATCAAAAGCATTAGGTGGGCATGGTGGCACATACCTGTAGTCCCAGCTGAAGTGGGAGGATCACCTGAGCCCAGGTGGTCAAGGATCTAGTGAGCCGTGAGCATGTCACTGCACTTCAGCCTGGGCAACAGAGTGAAACCCTGACTCAATAAACAAAAACAAAATGTACTTCCTTAATGTAGATACTTAGTGATTTTGAAAGAAATATAAGTTACTTTCCCTTAAAAATGTCAGCCTTTCTTATCTGTGTTTTTATGCTCTCAGTAAAGATGTAATAATTACTTCAAAAATGTAGATATTTATAATTCTGTGGAGCAGTATTTTGTTTTAGATAAATATATTAGCTAGTGTTAAAAAGCTATTTTGGGTGGGCTATCTCTTTGGTCGTATACTTTTTATCGATTTGAAAACTACTTGGGTCTTCAGAAATAATAGGAACTCAGTTGAAAAGTGGTTAGATAAGCAAAGATGAACTTAGATCCAGAATATTACTTGGGTGCTTAAGAAACCAAATGTGATTTTAAAGACTGTGTCACTGTACATAAGATGCAGTAAACACTGACAATCCCAACTAAAGCCCTTGTTAGAATATCATATAAAACAAGGTTTATGATATGAGTGATTCTGGGCTACCCATGTTTCAATGCAGAATTAAATCGTTTCACTGAATTATTTATTTTCCATGGTCATATTTGGGACTCTAGGGAAAAAGTCTTATGAAATAGAAGGAAAGTTTTAGACTGTTTTTTACCAAAAATAGTTATTAAATTGATGAAATTTTCTACTGTTTTACAATAAATGTTTGCAAGTTTGACCCCTAGCAAACTACCAAAAAATTAATGTGGTAGTTATTAACACCTTCAAATATAGATAATTAGAAGAATAAATATTTAGTAAATAATATACATTCCTAGGAAAAATATTGACATATTATCTCTTTACTAAAGCATTTAGAAAGGTCAGGTTTTAAAAGTTTATCTAGTTGCTATACACATGTTTAATGTGAACACTCAAATACAAAGATGATTCGTGAATTTATCGATCAGACACGTAAGGCTTGGTATGCACATGTTTAAATAGGTGGCTAGCTTTCTCCTGGGGTTCAAATAGCTACCAGCAGCCAGAAAGGCTGTGTGCTTATTCATTTGTGTCCTCAAGAAGGATAAAGGAGAGCTCTTGTCTCAAAACCATCCGGCAAAATGCCTCAGCTTCCAGTATAGCTTACCTTTGAATGGAGCCCTGCCCTGGGAAGGCCTTGCTCAGGTTAGCTTAGATCAGCCATGGCTCCTCCACAGGACTGTGATTGTCTCACCCAAAGAGCATGGCTACTACTTACTAATGAGAGAAGAGTATCCTGCCTTACAGAAAGGACATGCTGCTATATGATATTGGTAGCAAATTTGTCACCCCAACGTACAATTAGAGATGGAAAATAACTCGTCATAAGACTAATTTTTAAAATAAAGTAAGAAACTACCATGGAAAATCCAGAATCCTAATATTAACTTTTATTTTTTGGTTGCTTTCGTAGAAAATAATTTGTTCTCATGCAAACTTCCTCGTTGTTTATTTTTTCCCAGCTCTTCCTTTTTTTAAGAAAAATCATTCTTATATAGAAACCTATTGTAAATATTCACAGAACTTTTTAAAAGTTTGCTGAGGTAATAAAATTAATGATAGCTCACAGACTTGATTTCCTTAAAAAAAAAAATCCTGGGCTAAAATAAATGAAACCTTAACTTTTAGAGGAAAAAAAGCTCCTAAAAGTCAGCTTTGATTAGCAACTGCTTATCCTAACACTTATAATTTAAGACTAACCTAATTAAAAGAAACGATTAGAGAAGTAATCAAAGACTAAAATCAAAGACTAAAAAGTCTAGAGAGGCCTTTTAGAAAGTAATACTACCACTATATTATAGTCTACTATTTGATATCATATCAATTAACTGGTGTTAGAATACTGGAAAGGCTGACAAAGCTATCATTTCTATTCCACAAATCCATGACAAGTTCTGAAAAAAAAGGATATTTAACAAGTATGTTTTAATATATGTGTTTGTAATCTGCAAAGATCATGAATATTTATGCTAGGATTGACTCATTCAACATATATTTATGGAGAGCGATTCAATGTGTGAGATACTCTGCTTGGTGCTTGGAAGAACACAGACCAGTGAGAGAGGCATATATCACACTCATACAGTAACACCTACAACTACAGGACAAAGTGGGAAATGATCATCAAGGGAAGTGTCCACAAAACCCTATGGGAGCCAAGGGGAAGGGTCAGATTCCTGCCTGGAGGGAAAAGGAAATGGAGAAGGTGGGGTTTCTGAAAATAAGCACAAAAAAAGTGAAAGAGCCCTTTCATTTATAAAATAAGTATAGTTGTAAAATAAACTAACTTACACTAGTTCTTCTTAGTATTTGAGCCAAAAAAATTATTCTGTTGAAAAGCAATTACAAAGGTATAATGAAAGTTAATGGGGAAACTTTTGACGCACTCATCTTGGTTTATTTAATATAGTTTCCAGGACTAAATGTTATCTATAAAGTAAGTTTAACTGATATTGATTGTGGGAAAGGAACAGGTAAAAAAAGAAAGAACTATTCTTAAATAACATAAGACAAAGGTGGTGGTATTTCTTTTGTCTTGTTTTCCAAGATCCTGCAAGAAAGCATTACAAAACTCTAGAATACAGTGTCAGAGCCGGCACTCAGCTCTTCCCTCCTGAGGGGTCCCAGTTCGGTCCCATGGAAATTGAATGCCATCACACTCTCACAAGCCTATGGGTCTTGCATGAACATGCCTGTCTACACATTCTTCTTTTCTTGTCATTGCAGCCTCAACTCCATTGATGTGAAGTATCAGATGTGGAAACTAGGAGTTGTTTTCACTGACAACGTAAGCCTACTTCATGACCACAAAAGCAAATGTGATCTGGTTGGATGAGTCTGTGGGAGTTCTGCAGATGGAGGGATGGGTATTGAAGAAAATTATTCAATCACTAACTCATTTCATACAGACTATATCTGAGAATGACCCGTGGAAGGATAAGATTAATATTAGCCTATCTCTCATTCCATTTCTTTCAGTAGCTGAAAGATTAAAGCAAATATATTTACACAGGAAAGAAAGCATAATACAAATTCATGTGTATTTTTATTCAGGTTTTAATTGGGCAATTATTTACTTCAAAGTTTTATAGATGTTAAAAAGGAACTCCTGAATAAATCATGTTTTAATTGTGCTAAATTTAAATTTACCCCAAATTGAGTACATCAAATTGTTGATTTTTTTTCCTGGATTGATACTTCTTTTACCAAAGAGCCTTTGAAAACTAAACATAGGGCCATAACACATATCTGAATATGATGAAAAAAAAAAATCTATTAGTAAAAGCCACCAGCTGTCTCAAGATTTCACTCTTTAATTTTAGCACTGCCTTTTATGGTGAAAGTTCCATTCTTCTATTTAAAGGCCTGTGACAACCCCTAAGTTTCTTGCCTCTATCTCCACCCCTGCCTCACACAGCCACGGGCCCAGAACTCTGGGTATCTTAGAGAATCCTCCAAAGAGCTCAAAATCATTTCTTACAAGTATCTTTTTCAACTGTAAACTGGGAAGAAGCAACTCTCTGTATAAAGAGGGAGCAACCTCAGCTTGAACCCCTGGCCCCGGTACTTGCATGACCCACGTATCCCCAGATGTAGCCTGTTCATAACAGCTGACTTACTATGTAGTTTTCTTGTCCCCCAGAGTTTCTGGGCATGGATTCCAGGAGGAAGTCTAAAGAACGTCTTCAACGTCTTTCTAACACCTCATTGGGCTTTCTTCTACCTGCAGTTTTGTGGCTTCTGTTTGGCCAATTGCCCCTCAACACATATTCAGTCTTTTTTTTTTTTTGAGTTGGAGTCTCACTCTTTCGCCCAGCCTGGAGTACAGTGGCCGCTTCCGGCCACCGCAGCCTCGACCTGCTGGGCTCCCGCGATCCTTCCGCCTCAGCCTTCCAAGTAGCCAGAATTACAGGCATGAGCTACCACACCCGGCTGATTTTTTTTGATTTATTGTAAAGATGAGGTCTCGCTGCCCAGGTGGGTCTCGAACCTGCGGGCTCACTCACCTCAGCTTCCCAAAGGCGCGGGATTACAGACTGAGCCACTGAGCCCGGCTCGTATTCAGTCTTATAGTACAGTTTCTCTGAAGCACAGCAAGGGTCACCTGATGAAATATAAGGTTTACATTTTAGATGACTGAGAGCGAATAACTTTTAGCATAAGTATGTCCCAAATACTACATGGGCTATACTTATACTGGAAAGTATTTATTCTTGATCTCTCAATCAGATTTAACTGGGCAGCACATACAGACCCTCGGCTCAGCTTGTAGCTTCGACTCCTTACTCATTTTATGCCCACAGGTTTTCCTTTTCTCCACTGGGGACAGTTGTGCCCCCAGGTGACGACTGGCAATACCTGGAGACATTTTTGGTTGTCATGACAGAGGAGGGCAGGGTGGTGCTATTGGCATCTAGTGGATGCTGCCAGTCACCCTGCAATGCACAGGACAACCTCCACAACAAAGAATCATCTGATCCAAAATAGCAATAATGCCCATGTTGAGAAACCCTGGGCACTGTTGCTATTTTGGATCAGATGATTTTTTCTAGAATAAATAAGAACAGCTACCATTTTAAAGGAGAGAATAACACTTAACCTTTCAGAACAAACCAAATAAAAATAAAATACACGGCCAGGCTCTGTGACTCGGCCTGTAATCCCAGCACTTTAGGAGGTCGAGGCCAGTAATTGCCTGAGCCCGCGGGTTCGAGACCCACCCGGGCAACTTGGCGAGACCTCGTCTCTACAATCAATCAAAAATGAGCCAGGCGTGGTAGCGCGCGCCTGTAGTTCCAGCTACTCGGAAGGCCGAGGCGGAAGGATCGCCGGAGCCCAGCAGGTCGAGGCTGCGGTGGCCGGGAGCGGCCACTGCACTCCAGTCTGGGCGACAGGGTGAGACTCCAACTCAAATAAATAAATAAATAAAACACACAAAGAACAAATGGGTACAGCTAATTAGAATTACATAAACTTATGGCCTAAGAAGATGAAGTAAATGAAATGATTATAATAAAGTGAAATCGGAGTTATTTCAATTATAGCTGATTTTATTTTTTAATTAACAATAGCTATTATCACAGGGTACATAGTGATGTTTTGATACATATAAAGTATAGTGATTAGACCAGAGAAATTAGCATTTCTATCTTCTCAAATATGTATCATATCTTTCTGTTGGGAACATTCAATATCCTCCTTTTAACTACTTGAAACTGTACATTACAGTAAGTCCCCTACATATGAATGAGTTTTATTCTGAGAGCACATACATTAAGTCCAGTTTGTTCATAAGTCCAACAAAGTTAGCCTAGGTACCCAACTAACACAATCAGCTATTTGGTACTAGCTACATCACTGCTGCTTTCACCCTTACTTCTGGACATCCTGGGTCTGAAATAAAGATACTGTATTACTGTACTCTATACAGTACTATACAGTAAGTACACAAAAGCACAACCCCTTGTAGAGGATACATGCAAGCAACAACGTATGCCGGGCTAACTTCCATGATTGGACATGTGAGCACTCATTCGCATCTTTGAAAGTTCGCAACTTGAAGGTTCATATGTGGGGATTTACTGTGTATTGTTAACTGTAGTAATCCTGCAGTGGTATAGAACACTAAAATTTATTACACCTATACAACTGTAACTGTGTATTCTTTAACAAGTCTCTCCCTATACCTGGTTTCCTTCTACACTTCCCAGCCTTCAGGATCCTCTGCTCTGCTTTTCACTTCTATGAGATCAACTTTTTTTAGCTTCCACATATAAGTGAGAATACATGGTGTTTAACTTCCTGTTCCCAGTTTATTTCACTTAACATATGAGAGTAGTCATGCATTCTGTTTTCTGATATGTTTTCCTTCCTGTTTTGTCTTTAATAGTCCTTCCTATACCTAGCTTGGTATATGACTATGTCCGTTCTTGGACACTATAACAACTTTTTTTTTGCTGCCCATCTTCTTGACATTGCTATGGGATTCAAGACTTTAAGAACCATCTTGTCATCAGTAACTCACAATGGCAAACAGGTAACAGTTTATCTTTTTCTCCCCCTTGCAGAAACCAAAAAAAGCAACAAAGATAGCCAACAAAAATAAATGCAACCCTCAATCGGCAATGTACAGTTTCAAAGATTTTTTTCAAGGGGGGCTCTGCACCTTTTCTAAACCATGGGGATTATTAGTTTCAGTCTCCTAGACCTATGCTCAAGTCTTAACTTGACCTTGGATAAATTAATTAATGTTTCTAATTCTCAAAATCCTTATCCCATAAAATGAAAATAATAAAAGTACTTACCTTATTGGATTTTTGTGAAAATTAAATAAAAACAAAATTAAAGGCATTAATACAACCCCTGTCACGTACTAAGCACTCAGCAACTTAGTTATTATTTTGTTCCTAGTACAATATTTGCTTCATTTGTTATTACAAGAAACAAAAATATGTTACAGCATTCTGCTATAGTTGTATTAGGAGTAAAACGTGAGATGCTGCATTTTAATTTAATGTAATATTTTACAATTGGATATTCATGTACTGTTTTCTCTACTTCTAAATTGAACAAAAAGAATAATGTGTCTTACTTGACAAGGTCATACTGACTTGGAGGAAAACTGGTCGAGGTCCAGATAATCAACTTATGTTCTAATGGAACCCATTTGAAATGTTAAAATGTTCCATTATTATGAAACGTATTGCAGAAGCATGCATTTATTAATCCATTTGCTATTTTTCATGTGTCCACTGGGTGGTAATACATTCTATGTTAGTTACATGGATTAACAGAGCCTTCTTTTCCAGAGTCTTATATATGGCCCGGCACATGTTTAAACCAGTGCTGCTCCAAAAACTTTGAACTGTGTCCACAGTTAAATTCGCATTATCATGATTATTAGTTCTCTAATTTTCAGCATATGATTCATACATGCCACTTTAGGTTCTGACTATGACAAGCATGGTAAGTCATGGGCCAGTGACAAAAAGTCTACTGCTTATATCAGTTGTTGGTAAATTATGTTTGAGTTCCTAGAATATGTAAAGAACTGGAGATGCTGAATCTATTATGTATTTCTACATAAGAGGTCTGGCACTACTTTCAATTAATTTCTGAACTTTTGTGGGGATTCCTTTTTCTTTTTGAGGCATCAAAATTTCATGTGCAGAATTATATAAAGCTTAATAATTCTAACATGTAAACACAGATATTTCAGTGGCATTGTATTTCATTTATAGAAATGATTTAAACTCTCTATTTTCTCCAGATAAAGTGATTTTATAAAGAATCAACATATATAGTTACAGTCAACAAAATAAAGATGTGTTGTAATCAGAGAAAGTACACATGAAGATAGTACATGTTAATATGTTTAGAATTTCTCTTGTATAGCCAGAAATGTATTTTTACCAGCTTGGTGACAATCACATTTTTAGCATATATTTATTCTATCAAAACTATGTATCAGTAAAGTACAGTTTGGAATTTAAAAAGGGTTACGTGGAGCTGAATGAAGACCTTTCAAATTGAGACAGTTATGCATTGAGAAAACTAGCCTTCAAAATAGTGTTGGTCATTAGCTGGGGTGTTTTTCACTTTGATCACTGAGGACTCCTCAGTTTTATTTTTTTGACATTTATATTACAAATTATTAACAGTTGTGTGTGACAAGATTTCGGAAGCAATGCCAATTCTATTTAGTTTTAGGGTGGGATTTAAAATAAAAAAGAATTTATAATCACTCACTATTATAACAAAAATGAGATGGGTTTTATTAGGAATATGAATTGTTTACAGAAAATAGATCTCATAAAAAAGAAGTAATTAATTAATTAGTATCTACTACCAAATATTTAGATAATAGAAAAATGAACATTTAAGCTAATTATTAATACTATTAATTCAATTTGGATGTAAGACTAAATCATAATTTATTCATACTCTAGCACTTCTTAGCCAATTAAGTAGTCAAATTCTGCATAAAATAGTCTGACAGCTTGATAAAGAGAATGTGAAAATAAATTTTTCCACTGGGAGGCTAAGAAAGGTGAGAAGTAATGATGTTGATGTTATGTATCCTGTTAGCTTCTAGTCAGTAAATCCAGCTGTGTGCTCACCAGAGCACTCCTGTCCCACACAGATGTCAAATGTACCAGTCATATGTCCTGAATTTCTAATACCTGTTCAATGTCACATTGCTTTCCAGCTCGTATTAACTGTTGGCTTATTAGCTGTTGTCGTATACCTGTATACTGTGGTGGCATTCAATTTTTTTCGAAAATTCTACAATAAAAGTGAAGATGGTGATACACCAGACATGAAATGTGATGACATGCTAACAGTAAGTTCATAACCTTCGATCTCATATGAATGAAAAAGTTATCTTGCTTCTGCAATCTAAGTAATTGTGTATTTACTAGTAACAGTGCAGAATAGAACATAGTCTGCATAATAAAAGTTGGGTGGCTCTTTAAAGAAGCAGCAATATTCATTTTTAGTGGAACATAAGGACCACTTCTGTCAATTTTCCACATCTCCCGCACAGCCTGGTAATGAATAGAATTGTTGAGTAGCATAGTTAGACCCAGAAGGAGTAATGTCCTCACATTAGCCTGTTCATATATTCCAGGAGAGCAGCTAAAATTATTTCCTGGAGAATATTTTGAAGCCTTAGTTTTTTGTTTTTCTTAATGACTTTAACTGAAGTTACCAAAGTTCAAAAATATATCTCTTAATAGAGATATTAAGTTAGTGTTTGCTTTTGAGCTGAGTATCTTGGCTTAAATTTCCTCTTTGGCCTTGGTTTCCAAAATCAACGGAGTTAAAGCTTTGATATTGGTTTATATCACTGTTCTACAACCTACCTCTCTGATATTGGCAAGTCAGAAATTATTATACATGAGATCTTAATTTGGCAGGGGGAAAAATCTAGACAAAATATGTATTGCTAGTTTGAAAGAGAGAGGTCCTTCAAAGAGCTCGTCATCAAAATACTTACATAATTTTGGTCAGGGGCAGTGTAAGTAAAAGGACTGACATAATGATATAAAAATTACTATAGAAAAGACAAACACACCAAAAGATTGGTAAGAGAAATTTATCAATATTCAAGGAGTAATAATTAAGACACTTTTGTGCTAAAGAATGACAAATCAATGGAACAGAATGGCTTCAAACAGATGCAAATGCTCATGGAAATTAAATTATTATAAAGGTGGCTTTTGAAATCATGAAATGAATAATGATTCAGTAAACGGTACTGGTACCATAGACAAGCTGTTTGGGGGAAATAGATAAAAATGGATGCCAACCTTGCTTTTTAAATCCAAATAAATTCTGAATAAAGCAAATATTTCAAGGCAAAAAAAAAATCATTAGCAATTAAGACAGAAATTACTCCTTAAAATAATTTTTTTTAATGGGGAAGGTCTTCCTGAATATGACATAAAACCCAGGATCCATGGAAGCATAAAAATTATTTGAAGCCGGGCTCGGTGGCTCAGCCTGTAATCCCGCGCCTTTGGGAGACTGAGGTGAGTGGATTGCCTGAGCCCACGGGTTCGAGACCCGCCTGGGCAGCGAGACCTCATCTCTACAGTAAATCAAAAAATCAGCCGGGCGTGGTAGTGCATGCCTGTAATTCCGGCTACTCGGAAGGCTGAGGCGGAAGGATTGTCGGAGCCCAGCAGGCGAGGCTGCGGTGGCCAGGAGCGGTCACTGCACTCCAGTCTGGGCGACCGAATGAGACTCCAACTCAAAAAAAAAAAAATTATTTGAGAAAAGAAAAATTATAAACATAGTCTTAAAGATAAATGATAAACTGGGGAAAAAACATTAAACATCATAACAGGGGCCAGTTTCCTTAATTTACAAAATCTTTTTCACATCAATCAGTAAATATGGCAATAGAAAAATGAGTAAGTTACTCATACATGACCAAACAATTTACAGTAAAATAAGTTCAATAGGTCTGTAAATATGAAAAGATGCTCAGCTTCCATTGCAATGAAAAAAATGCAAATTAAAACAATGGAAAAACACTTTTTAACCTATCAGGTTTGCAAAGTATTATTATTCATCAATACCCATAGTTGGTGAATTTGTAGGAAAACCAGCACTTTTGTGTCTCTTGTTAGGGATTTGAATTGACAAAAATTTTAGAGAAAATTTGCAATATCTATCAAATTTTTAACTATATATATATATCCTTTGACCTATCAATTCCACTGCTAGTAAGTTACCTAAAGGTTTACTCACAAATATGCCTCTGTATGTTTAAGGGTATTCGCTGCTTTCACAAATTAGGAATAATCTAGATTATCATCAGTAGAATCTTGGTGAGATCAATTATGATAAATTCTTAACAACTGTGCAGCTATTTGAAAATGAGAGAAATGTAGCCATGTGTGGTGGCTCACACCTGTAATCCCAGCACTTTGGAAGGCCGAGGTGGGAGGATTGTTTGAACCCAGGAGTTTGACACCATCCTGGGCACCATAGCAAGATCTCATCTCTATCAAAAAAAAAAAAAAAAAAAATCAAAAACTTAGCCAGGCATGGTGGTGAGTGCCTGTAGTTCCAGCTACTTGGGAGACCAAGGTGGAAGGATCACCTGAGCTCAGGAGGTCAAGGCTGTGGTGAGCTGTGAGCATGCCACTGCACCCCAGACTGGGGGACAGAGTAAGATCCCTAGCTCAAGAAAATAAAATAAAAATTAAAATGCAAATGAGTGCAATTCGTATCTGCTGATATGGAGAGATATACTAATTATATTTAATTGGGAAAAAAACAAGCTCCTGATCATTATTATGATAGGATCCTGTGTATAATTATACACACAGACACAAATGCATATTTTAGATATGCTAGAATATGCGCAATATTTTTCTGAAGAGATTTATTCATAGGAAACTTTTTTTTTTTTTTTTTTAGGCAGAGTGTCTCTCTGTTGTCCGGGTGGCAGTGCAGTGGCAGATCAGGGCTCACTGCAGCCTCAGCCTCCTTGGTTCAGACCATCCTTTCTCCTCAGCCTCCTCAGTAGCTGGGACGACAGTCACTGGTCACCACACCCAGCTATTTTTTTTTATTTTTTATAGAGACAAAGGCTCGCTATGTGCCCAGGCTAGTCTCAACTCCTGGGCTCAGGGGATCCTCTATCCTTGACCTCCTAGAGTGCTGTGAATACCCACGTAACACCACACCTGGCTCACAGGAAACTTTAGAAGGATTTCTATAGAGAATAGAACCACAGAGCAGTGGAGAAAAGAAACTGTAGGCTTCTTATTTTATATACTTTTCTCCTACCTGAGTTATGTTTGTAAACATATGTACTTCTTTCATATTTAAAAGCCTAAAGCATTTTTTTCCCCACCATATTATAAAAGATATCTCAATTTAGTTCTTCTCAATAGTATATAATTCTGTAGAAGGACCATTTCCTGGCAGGAAGGAGAAAGTGGAACATACAGGTAGCTGACCTGGGGGAGTCAACAGGAGAGAGACTGCGGTGTGCCCTGTGCTAACCTAATGTGACATTCTTGATCCATTGTTCAAGTTCTTGAGCCATTTGTAGCCTGAATCTTTCTTATGTATGTAAAGAAGTTTTTCCATATCTAAAAAGTAATTTCTCCATCAAAAATGACCATTAACATAGAATTGCCAATCCTTCCTCTTTTAAAGGTATTCTGCCTTCTAATGACCAGTTTGGAGATCTTGACAAGACTCTTTTCTAGGTTTTCACAATTAAACATTCTTCTTCTCTTCCCAACTTTTTAAGAAAAGAAAACAAAAGTCTTAAAAGCAGTAAAGCATAACTCTAAAATGAATTGAAGTTTATCTAAAAATTGGGGATACATAATAACTTGTCAACATGAAAATTAATACTCAGGGTTTTCCTTTTCCTTGGTCAAGATAAGGCTTTTAAAGGCCTGGAGCAAAAAGTTTGCTTTTGAGGGAGAAGGCAGGGTGGGGGAAAAGCTTTGGATTCATAGGTCCATACAGAGTTGACAGAACAGTAAGTCATGTTATTCATATGAAAATCACTCATAATTTTCAATATTTTCTGTCATTATTGCCATTCTGGAGCAGTTTTGCATATGAGTTTGTAATTTCTGTATGCTAGCTACCTACTTGAAGGACACAGTGTTAGAGCTAAAAGGACTGTAATGTTTATGGTCGTTTATCCATAAAATTAACTCCTCAAATGGAAGAAAATACCATTCCAATTATAGATCCACTGTCTTGTCATTTATATTTTTCTTTTATTTATCAATTATTTTTATATAGCACTTGTTATAGATGATACTATGCTAGGCATTCATTGTCTTAAGCACCCTTCAAATATTAACTCACTTAATCTACTAATAACTTTACGCTGTTCCTAAGTACTGTTATAATTCCCATTTTACAGATGAGTAAACTGAGCTACTGAGAGTTTGAGTAACTTGTCATAAGTCACACAGGCAGAGATTAGATGCTAACCATTACTCTATGCTATGCTACCTCACGAGTATTAATTCCATTCATGCTTATTTTAATCATTTTAGTCATGTTTACGTAAATAAATCCAGTGACATTTTATACCAGGCACTTAAGGAGGATAAGGCTTGATGAAGCCCATAGTCCCTGCCTTCACGGAATTTGCATGTTAATTACCTTTCTAGAATGTCTGCTAAGCTTATCCTTTTTCTAAGATTATCATCCAAGAAAAGAATGCCCCAGAAATTCCAGAAGTTTTGGGAAACACATCAGTATTACCTGATGAATATTCCACTGCATATAGAACATGAAATGATATTAAACTCGATGAAATAGTTGATTAAACATCACTCTTCAACACTGCAATTGAAAAGTTACTTTAAGTGGCTAGTGGTGAGAGAAATCAAAATAACTTTTCAGTGAAACATGTTACAGAGTGAAAGATATGACTATAGGCATAAATCAAACGTTTTAGATCATATTTCAGATTCATTTTATGTCATCATGCGTTGGCAGGACTGAGACTCAAGACTTATACTCTGATACTCTTCTTCTCTGATTAATTGCTGGAAAAAGAATCTGTGCCCGGTCTGGTTTCCCTTCCCCAGCCTGTCTTTCCATCACTCCCAGATTCGGGCCACCTGTTCCCTTCTTGTGACCAACTCCCATCCTTCCTGTAGCTGCTTTTCTCACACAGCGAGAAACATTTATAGAGATTATTTTTTCACTTCCAGCAACCATAAGAAAACTGGATTCAGCACAACAAGAAACCACCTGGTCACTAGCAACAACTCTCTCCCAGAATCACCAACACGGGACACTTTAGTCTCCTCCCCCTTCTACCTATTCCAGGCCCAGGATGAT